CCAGCAGGGGAAAAATCAAGCAAGTTTTTATAAGAATGAAGCCATGCATGACGGCTCTAAGACAAGTGATTCAACCATTGTTGAACTACCAAGGTCTAACCGCCGGTTTAAACATGGTCGACGTTCCGTTTTTCCGGCGAAAAGACAAGGTTGTTTTCGTCATGGGAGCCACCGGAACCGGTAAATCTCGTCTCGCCATCGACCTAGCCACTCGTTTTCCGGCGGAGATCGTAAACTCCGACAAGATCCAAGTCTACAAAGGTCTCGACATAGTCACCAACAAAGTCACTCCGGAAGAAAGTCTCGGCGTTCCTCACCACCTTCTCGGCGTCGTCGACGACACTCACGACGATTTCACGGCTGAGGATTTCCAGCGGGAAGCAATAAGAGCCGTCGAATCGATCGTCCAGAGAGACCGTGTCCCTATCATAGCCGGTGGTTCCAATTCTTACATCGAGGCTTTAGTCAACGATTGCGTTGACTTCCGGTTAAGGTACAATTGCTGCTTCTTGTGGGTCGATGTCGCTAGACCGGTTTTACACTCGTTTGTGTCGGAGCGAGTCGATAAGATGGTTGAGATGGGTCTCGTCGACGAGGTTCGCCGCATCTTCGATCCCTCGTCGGCAGATTACTCCGCCGGAATACGCCGTGCGATCGGAGTTCCGGAGCTGGACGGCTATCTCAGGGCGGAGATGCGGGATTATCCGGCGGAGACGACGGAGAGACTTTTGGAGACGGCGATTGAGAAGATTAAGGAGAACAATTGTTTGCTCGCGTGTAGACAGTTACAGAAGATTCAGAGGCTTTACAAGCAGTGGAAATGGAATATGCACCGTGTAGACGCGACGGAGGTTTTTCTCCGACGAGGAGAAGAAGCCGATGAGGCTTGGGAGAATTCGGTGGCTCGACCGAGTGCACTCGCCGTCGATCGGTTCCTTGATCCCGGCGCTGATATTATCTTCCCGGAGATATCCGCCGTTCCATCGCTCCCAGCCGCCGTGGTGGCGATTTCCCGTTGATAGAAATAAAAAAAGGAACTGAGCAATGTATATGATGAAAAAAAAGGGAAGTTAAAAAAGAAAGAAGCAAAACCATAATAATGCCACGTGGCGAGATTGGTCGGAAGGTGATATAATAACGCCACGTGGCGAGATGGGTCGCTGTCGGAGAAGATGACCCTTTAAATATATTTTTTTAAAAAGTGTGTTACGGTTTAACGGAATCAGTTTTGAGGGAAGTGGAGTGCACGCGCGGGGCGTACAGACAATTTTTCCTTTTGGTTTTCCGGTATAGTTAGCTAGGATGGGGTGCGGCAGAGTGTACGGTTTATACGGTGGATGATCGTCTAGGATTTAAGTAAACAGGTCATTGGTCAACGCGGTTTTGTTAAAAAAGAATGTGTTTTGGGTCCCACAAAAAGTGACGTTATGTGGTTTAAACAATTCAATCTAACGGCTGTGATGTGAAGTGATTATTATTAATTATTTAGCTGGTTTAAAAATTCATGTTTCATGGATAAGCTTATTATGTGTGTGTTTTGCTATCAACTTCGTTATAAAAAGACGAATGAGATTAATAATCAATTACGATCAAATACTATAACGAAGTAGATATAAAACTACATCAGTTTTTGTCCATAAGAAAACATTATAATGTATATTTAAATATATATTCCAAAAGAGATTCTTGTGTGAGTTGATGCCCACTACCCACCGTCACGCACCGTTTCTTCCATCTCTAACCCAAAATATGAAAAACTAGTATTCATTTCATTAATTCCTAATATTTAGTCTTTGCATATATGAGATATTATGTGTGATTTGGGGGGATTTTTTTTTTGTTTTACAACGATTTGGGAGACTATAATCTTCCTTTTAACCTGATTTTTTTTAGTGACCGAAAGAATCATATGCTTATATCTCGACGAATTTTCAGAATCACAGAGACTAATTTTTTTTTCCTACAACGACTAAAAAAAAACTAATACGAGAGATCCATATATGAAAGGATTTAATATTTGGTCCGTACTCGCATAAAAAATATTACTCGATGATCCACCACTCTTTAGTTTTCGTTTTCTGATGATTTTATATTGTTGGAATGGAGCAGGTTAATTACCAAGAAATATCATATAGCTTATGTATTTTTATTTGTCTCAAGGGATTAGTTAGTAGCTATGGTGAAGAATGAAG